AGGGTGTCTTGCTCTGTCGCTCAGGCTGGAGTGTAGTCGTGTGATCACAGCTCACTGCAGCCTCAACCTCCCGGGCTCAAATGGTCCCCCAACCTCAGTTTCCTGAGCAGCTGGGACTAGAGCCACACACCAGCCTAAATTTTTATTTTTTATACAGACGGGATCTCACTGTTGCCCAGGTCAGTCTCAAACTCCTGGGCTCAAGCAGTCCTGCGTCGGCCTCCCAAAGCACTGGAATTACAGGAATGAGCCACTGCGCCCAGCCAGCTCCGTGCTTTTTGTTGCCTCAGTTACTCTCTCTGTGAGATGGGAAGAATCCTCCTGGCCTTATCCCAACTCTCCAGCTGGCCTGGGGGAAGAACTATAAAATCTGAGCAAGAGGTTTTCATCATTTTTGTTTTTTCTGCTGCTACCACCCACCATGGGCATGAGACGGTTTGGTTTCCTGGCAGCAGAGCTGTGTAGGAGGTTCAGTCTGTTCCCCTACCCACACCTAAAACTCTTTCAACCAAACCTGCCTCAGGCTGGGAAGGTGCAGGATCTTCAACAGAGAGGGGACATTCACTTGGGCTGGTCACTGGAGCTTGGCAGTACAGATTAAATCACCCCAAGAAAAACAGACTGTGTTCCCCAGAGTTGCATGGTCTTTGGTCCCTAAAACTCTGAAGGCTGGCAGACTCTGGACAGTTTCTGTGGGTTTCCAGCCAGCATGCCACTGGCTTGCACCCCAGAGCCTGGAGCTGCTGCCTACATATGTTCGACATAGTAGGCAGGTTTTCGTATCAAAATATTGTTCCTGGCTGATATTTATGAATTTGCACTGGTGGACAAGTGGTTTTAGCACTGGCTGTGCTAGAGTCAAACTCTCCTAGACAGGAAAGAGCTTGGCTAAAAAAAATAAAAAATAAAAAAAAGAGCCAAATCACTGATGGCTCAACAGCTGAAAACATCAGGAGCAGAAGTTAAATGGTGGCTGGGGTAAAGCCAAGGAATCCATTTAAGGGGTGACCCTAGAGAAATACATTTATTTATGAAGTCATGACTTAGCTGTAGGGGAAGGTGGGGGAAAGACACACAGTTCTGCCCTCACAAGGTTCAGTCTCATCAGGACAGGGTATGTGCATTCAGGCCTTCTGCCCACCACACAAGCTGTTCCCTCTGCATGGAATGCCCTTCTCCCCTCTTTGTCCCCATTCCTGCTGTACTTCAATGTATCACCTCCCTGGGGTAATAACATACTCTTATGTGTGTAAGGCACTTCATGGTTTAAAAAGCCCTCTCGGCCGGACATGGTGACTCAGGCCTGTAATACCAGCACTTTGGGAGGCTGAGGTAGATCATCTGAAGTCAGGAGTTCGAGACCAGCCTGGCCAACATGGTGAAGCGCCGTCTCTACTAAAAATACAAAAAACTAGCTGGGCGTGGTGGCGGGTGCCTATAGTCCCAGGTACTTGGGAGCCAGTTACTTGGGAGGCTCAGGCAGAACTGCTTGAACCTGGGAGGCAGAGATTGCAGTGAGCCGAGGTCATGCCACTGCACTACAGCCTGGGCAACGGGGTGAGATTCTGTCTCAATAAAAAAAAAAAAAAAGCTCCCTCAAGTACTTAGTTCTTTTCACTCCTACCATAACCAGGAGGGGCAAGAATAAAGTCACTTAGCTGTTCGGACACAATGAGAACAGGAACCAGGATCTCCTCCTGATTCCTGGCCTGGGACAGAGCATCCTCTGACTCCTACTGAATCCCCTACAGTACTCCTAATGCAGGAATTTGAGGCGGGCTGGTGGGGAGTGTGGTGCATGGGCTTTTTTCCGCCTCTTTAGTGTAGACCACCAGGGTTATGGTGAAATCTTACCTAGCGTTGAGATACATCTTTATCCTTCCTTCCCTCTCCTGCCAGCAAATTGGAAGGAGGTTTTACTGAAACATATCAGCCCTGACCAGGTGCCTGTGGAGTATGGGGGCACCATGACTGACCCTGACGGAAATCCCAAGTGCAAATCCAAGGTATGGGCCACCAGAGGCTGGAGGTGAACAGGGATACCTGGCTCAAATGCACATTCCAGTTTACTCCATGCCATGCTTCTAGATCAACTATGGGGGTGACATCCCTAAGAAGTATTATGTTCGAGACCAGCTGAAACAGCAGTATGAACACAGCGTGCAGATTTCCCGTGGCTCCTCCCACCAAGTGGAGTATGAGATCCTCTTTCCTGGCTGTGTCCTCAGGTAGGGGCCTGGGCCCTTCCAGGAGACCTCAGCTTTCATCTATAGGTCCTGATGGGTGGGCTGGGGTAGGACAAGCCCTGGTTCCAGGAACCCGGGAGGGTACATGCAGACAGAATTATGTCTAAACTGGTGATGTCCCCTGTAGGTGGCAGTTTATGTCAGATGGAGCAGATGTTGGTTTTGGGATTTTCCTGAAGACCAAGATGGGGGAGAGGCAGCGGGCAGGGGAGATGACAGAGGTACTGCCCAACCAGAGGTACAACTCCCATCTGGTCCCTGAAGATGGGACCCTCACCTGCAGTGACCCTGGCATCTGTAAGTATCTCTGCCTTGGCAATACCTTGAAGCCCTATGTCCAGCTTTCTGCCTGTGAGGATCCTCTTCCTCCATGGATTTTTGGTTCTCAGAGTGTTAGAACTAGAAGTGGGATGCCATCGGTTCAACCCTCTTCTTGCCTAGACGAAGAAACCTAGGCTTGGAGAGGTGAAATGACTTGTTTATGGTGGCCCAGCTGGTTAGCAGCAGGGTGGGACTTTGACCTCATACTCCCAGGTATGGGTGAGTCATAGTCCTAGGCCATCACAGGGGTTCAACACTTCTGATTTCTGGTCCAGGTCTAACTGGGTCTGTGACTGGCCAGATATTTCTTGGGGATGCTCCTACCCAGAGGTCACAGAGGCAGAATTGGCTGGGTGAGCATGGGATTGCAAGGTAAGCGAAGTACTCAAAAGTCCATCCTTCACCTGAGTTTCACTCATCTCCAGGCTGACCAAGGAACGAACACAGATTATGAACAGGCAGTTTACACAAGAATATAAGAATGGGGACAGCTGCGGTGGCTCATGCTTGTAATTCCAGCACTTTGGGAGGCCGAGGCAGGTGCATCACAAGGTCAGGAGATGGAGACCATCCTGGCTAACACAGTGAAACCTGGTCTCTACTAAAGATACAAAAAATTAGCCAGGCATGGTGGCACGTGCTTGTAGTCCCAGCTACTTGGGAGGCTGAGGCGAGAGAATCACTTGAACCTGGGAGGTGGAGGTTGTAGTGAGCCCAGAGCGTGCCACCACACTCCAAAAAAAAAAAAAAAAAAGAATGGCAAACAGACATTGGAAAAGGTGCTTAACCTCTCTTAACTTTGTAATATTCATTAAAATTCCCCTTGACTCAGCAATTCTACTTCTGAAAATTTATCCTACAGAAATACACAAAAATATAGGAACAAGGATGTTTCTAGCAGCCTGGGAAACTGGCAGTAAACCATATGACCATAATAAGGTCTGTTAAGTAAATTACAGTCCATCCATACAATGTTAAAGAGAATAAACTGACATGTAAGATGTCTGAGACATGTTAAGCATGAAACACAGCATGTATGGTATGTACTCACTTTGGTTAAAGAAGTGTGTACACAGAAAAGAATTCTGGAGAATCTATGCTAACTCTAAAAGTGGTTATCTATGGGGTGACAGGATGTTTATGGAGGGCTTTCATTTTTACAGTATTTCTGCAAATATATTTTATGATGACTATGTATTAATTTTACATTTATAAGCAGAAAGCCATACCTACACCCTCCTCAACATCCACAATCAATTCTCCAGTTACTTTTTGTCAGAGCCAATGGAAAATCATTGACAGCAAAGGCTTTATTGTCAGAGCTGAGGTGGACTTGACTAAAGACTAGCTGCATGGCCTTAGGCAAATGACAAAACCTAATCTTCAGTTTCCTGACTGCTACACTGGGGATATCTCACAGGGATACTGGATGATTCAATGTGATAAGTTCTGTGAGGCGCTTAGCATAATGCCCGGCATAGAGCAAGCACTCAATGCACTGTAGTCACCACTATTATTGTAAGGACAAAGCGTGTAGGAGAAGGGTCATCCTGGAGACAATGCTGGGAGATGGGAGAAGCCCTGTGCCCCATTTCTATGGCAGTACCAGCACCACCAGAAGATCTGAACTAGCCCCATAGATGTCTCGGCCTCTGTGCTTGTCCACACTGTCACCCAACCTGAGATTTTGCCTCCTTCCTCACATCCCAGGCATCCTTCATCTCCACCACCCCCTCCTCACAGATGCTCTGTAGTACAACATAGCTCCCTGGGGAGGGGGGAGTATTCTTATTAATGAGCAGCTGGGTCCTGGGGGAGAAGGCGTATACTGTGCGCTTCAGCAAGACCAAGGCTTAGCACAGCCCAGACAATGTCGCCCACAGAGGAGAAAGCACTTCATATATATAAGCTTGGATTTTTTGTCTGTTTCTTTGTTTTAGCAGAGATGAGGTATCGCTGTGTTGCCCAGGCTGGAGTCTCGAACTCCTGGGCTCAAGCAACCCTCCCACCTTGGCCTCCCAAAGTGCTGAGATTACCAGCATGAGTCTCCATGCCCAGCCTTGAATTTTTTTTTAACAGATGGGGAAGCTGAGGTATAGAGAAGGGATGTTATCTCTCCTATAAAGTAGCTTGTGTAAACATCAAGACAGAAGACACAAGAGAATCCCAGAGTCCTGATTCAGAACCTTTTGGGCATTGACTGTCCTTGATGTGACAGAGTGGAATCCCAGACCAGGGAAGTAATTTACTAAAGGTCACAAAGCCAGTAGGAGAGCCCCAAACCTTTCTCTAGCATCCACCCATTACCACTCCATCTTCTCTTTAGTATCCGAAGGACACTGCCCAAGAAGGGAACATGAACCTTTTAACATAATCAGGCTTCAGCTTGCAAACCCCCAAATTTATTTTAGCTCCTTCTGTATACATTCTCATACAGAACCATTACCTGCCTGCAGGGCCTTGTCTGGGATCTGCTCCTTGCCCATTCCCAAGAAGAGCAGAGTCAGGCCACAGGACCCATTCCCCCTTCCCAGGTATAAAGACAATGAAGTAGGAAGCAGCTGTTACCTGGCGCCACAGCTAAGGTTAGATGTGAACCCAGAGAACCCAGTATTAGCTTGCAAGCTCATCTGCGGGAGGGCAATGACCTTGGAGAACCAGGAGACCCCTGGAAAGTGGAACAGTGGAAATTAAAACCGTGCCAGCCTCCAATGGCAAGAATACATTAACCTTCCCCAGGCTTCTCTGGTCCTTATCCCAGGAAACTAAATTATCAGGGAGAACAAAAGTTTGAATTGATTTCACTTTTGTGTTCTCACCGAATATTTACCAAGGGCCTACTGAGTATAGAATACGCAACTACGAATGAAAAGATTCCGAAGGAAAGACCTAGACTTTGTCCACTAGAAGTGCACAATGTGGTCAGAACACTGGAAACACTGTAGGAAGGGTCAGCAGTGCTGGTGAAAAGAGCCCAGCCAGGCACCAGGAGACCTGGTTTCTGAGTCCAGCTTTGCCAATAACTCTCCCAGTGTTTTCAGCAAGTGTCTCTATTAGGTTTGGTTTTCCTTCTTCTTAAAATAGCAGAAGAGATGAATGGGCGTGGTGGCTCATGCCTGTAATGCCAGCATTTTGGGAGGTCAAGGCACGTGGATCACTTGAGGCCAGGAGTTTGAGACCAGCCTGGAAAACATGGAAAATCCCTTCTCTACTAAAAAATACAGAAATAAGCCGGGTGTGGTGGCACGTGTGATGATCCCAGCTACTTGGCATGAGAACTGCTCGAAGCCGGGAGGCGGAGGTTACAGTGAGCCAAAATTACACCACTGCACTCCAGCCTGGGCGACAGAGAGAAACTCTTAATCTGGGGTTCCCCAGAGCATTGGTGCTAAATCCTAAAGACCCAAACACTTCCTCTTTACAAGAAATAGTGTCTAAAATGTCCCCTTTACTATTCTGAAGTGAAATTCAAAATACAGAAATTCTGATTTTAATCCGAAAATATAACCCATCCTACCTCCACACATAATTTAAAAATCAACATAATCTCCTACTGTAATAGAAAAGAGATATACAAGGAAACTAATTTAAAACATATATTTTTTCAATACATAAATGAGGGTAAGGTTGTAGCTTTCCCATTGGGAACCACAGCCCCAGAGGGTCTACAATGGGCTCCAGGAAATCTAAAATTGTGTGCTTTCCTCAGATTCTCCAGGGGATCAGTTACCCAACTAAAGTTAAGGAGCCTTAGCCTGGAGGGTCTCTAGGGGCTCTGTGAGTCCATGATTAGTGTGAAAATGAACCACACAGACTCTGGAGCTGCAGTGACTTCACTTCCCTTGGGCCTGTGACTCTCCATCAACCCCTTTCTTGTTTCTGAGGCCACGTATCTTGCTAGGCAGCACCATTATCAACCTAGTACTTGGTCCAAAGAATGCAAAGGACCTCTCCTCCAGCATGGATGATCCTGGTTGCTAAGGCTCTATTATCCAGGACAGAGATGAAGCTTCACTCTTGCCAAAGGAACTATTAGCCCTGAAAGAACTCTAGTACAGAGGAAAAACAGATGACTAACACTTTATACCATGAGGAAAGAGTGGGTGGTGTGTCTACCCTTGGTCTAAACTATGCATTTTGTCCAGAGTCAGGAAAAGGTTAAGTCTTAGGATTAAATACAGGATATTTTTTAATTGCTGGGACTAGTGAGAGAAGATCAGGGTAGGGACGGGGCAGAGCCAGTGTTTTTGTTTTCACACTCAGTTCTCCTGAACGGGTGTTTGGCTGAAATGGAACAACTTCTCAAAGAAACAGGGTTAGATTAAAAGCAGCTTGTTCCTCTGCCAAAGTGTGGAAGCTTTCTCTGCCAAGTGCATGCCCACTTTCTCTTTGAGAAAACCACTGCTAATGTCTATTATTCTATCAGATATCTTCCATCTAGAAGCTTTATGTTTCCATAATGAACAGGGCATACAGTGTTCGCTTCGTCAGCAAAAGTACTACAATTGAAACAATATAGAGATTAGCACAGCCCCTTGTGTGAGGATGACAATCAGATTATCTTAAATAGAAAACAGGACATATACACATACATAATAGGAATTGTCTGCCATTCACTGTATGTTTGAAGAAATTTTCAAACAGTGAAACTCATCACAGGATGTGAGGAAACTTTCCCTTCAGGACAAGCACCAGAGTGGCATCATCAGAGAATCTGGGAGTCGAAACAGATTAAACAGTAAAGCCAAAAGTATTTTTACATATGTATTTACAAAAATGTTACAAACTGTTTAAAACTGTTCTGTAGCTTGCTTTTTTGGCCTCAGGATATACTGTGGACAGTTTCCTGTCACTTCTATGGAGCTAACCTCCTTCTTAAAAAATACATCACTATTCTATCATATGGATTACAGTATAAAATTGTTGAAGCAATTCTTCTTTGATGAATATTTCAGTGTTCCCAATCTCTTATTATCATAAATAGGGATGCAATGAGCATCTTTGTCCATTTATCTTTTTGCAGGATAAATTCCTGGTACACAAGGTTTGCACATTTTACCTTTTGTCAGAAACTGAACAGAGACAGGTTTTCCAGGGTCTAAGTCAGGCAGAACAAAGGCAGCAATGTGGACCAGACGGAAACTCCAGCTCTGTCATTTCCTCACTGTGTGGCACAAGAGTCTCACCACCTCCTTTTTATCAGACATAAAAGAGGACTAATGCTGAACTCATAGATATGGGGGGAACAGTGAGATAACATAGATTACCAACCCAGTGCTGTGACACACAGCTGTTATAATTATTACAACTGGCACTGCTGCTGCTAATTCTCCTCCCTCCTTTCAAAGCCCAGTTCAAGCTCTAACTCCTCTAAAAAGCATTTCACATGATTTCAGTCTACCAGGCCCTCTTCTTCCAAGCTGTACAGATGAGATGGTCTCTGTCACTCATCTGGCACTTGGCATGTTCTGCCTGTTTTTTTCTCTCCATGAATGTCTTGTCAACCCAGCTAGATTAGGTTTCAGAAGGTCAAGGATCACTACCTATGCCACCTTCATCCCCATGACCTGGCACACTGCCTTGCTCAGTCAATAAACATCAACAAAAATCGCTGTCCCCAAGCCCTTTGTCAGAACTGCCTGAATGTCTGGTTTCTGCCTCCCCTTAGATGTCCTACGGTTTGACAACACCTACAGCTTCATTCATGCCAAGAAGGTCAGTTTCACTGTGGAGGTCCTGCTTCCAGACAAAGCCTCAGAAGAGAAGATGAAACAGCTGGGGACAGGCTCCCCAAAATAACGCCTTCTCCTACAGCAGGCCTGGCCCCCTCAAGTGTCTCCCTGTCAATTTCTACCCCTTGTAGCAGTCATTTTCGCACAACCTTGAAGCCCAAAGAAACTGGGCTGGAGGACAGACCTCAGGCTGGATCTGGGGATCTTTCATTTCAGAGTTAGGCAGAGGAAGAGTGACTGAAGTGGGTCTCCTTGACTCTCAAATTCCTAAGGAGTCCCCAGGGGCTGGCTATTCTGATAGAATCTGTCTGTCCTGTAAAGTGTGCCAACTTCACCTGTCCAGGGACAGCAAATATAAGGAGGGGGGTACCACAGGGTGGCAGTAGGGAAAAACATTAGAAAAGGGGGAAAGATTGGGACTTAACACTTCAGGGAAGCCAGCTGCCAGGGAGAGATTTGCTTCCAAATGAACAAGTGAGTTTAGATCGCAATGAGGAGTAGCAGAGTAGCTGGTTGCTAGTTATGGTGGGGATGAGAGGCTCTTCCAAGCTTTTTAGCCTTGAGGCTGGGGTAGCTTTTGGCTTTTCCCAGGTCTCAGGAGGTGGCGTGAGTCAGCACAGATCTTCCCACTCAGGGGTAGACAGGCTGGCTTCTCCCGCACTTTGAGAACTTTGGCAACTCCTGGGCCACACGGCCTGCCTCTTTGACTACTAATGACTGTCAGTGACTCAGAGCTTCCTGGGGCTTCGGGTGCCCATCCGCTGTTCTCCATGCAAACAAAGCACAAGGGAAATGACCCCCAGGGATCACAGCTGCAGGGAGGGTCAGGGATGTTGGGGGCGGGAGTGAATGCTAAAAGGGGATCTTCCAGTGCCCTTTTCAGTGCTGCCGGCCTCTCACCAAGCAATCCTCCATGTGAGCAACCCAAAGACAAAAATGCTAAGTGGGATCAAGAGAGCAGCACTCGGAGAGGGTGTTTCCAGTCTGAGCGTCCCGCGGTGCCCGCCAACCCGCTTCCGGACTGACCTGAGCAAGGTCTTAGCAGTCCCATCTCTGTGGAAGGCACACAACGGAAGCAGGGAGTTCAGATGCCAGTTGGCGCTGCCAGGCCAGGAGGCCCCCCAAAGGCGGGGCCGGCGTCTCGCACGCCAGGGGCTGGCGGCGGCCACAGTTGGCCTCGAAACCACAGCCCTTACCCCGACCCCACGCGCCCAGCCAACGAATCCCAGGTGCTGGGCTGCACAGGAACACGGGAAGGCGGCCTCAGACCTGGCGGAAACGTCTTTCCCTCAGGGCCAGGCCCCGTCCCCGCCTGGGAAGCTCATCTTGCGAAGCTGAGGAAGCACGGAACAGAAGGGGCCGAGGCTGCACTGGTCTCTGCCAGACCGCTCAGAAGGGCTTCCCGGCCTGGGTTTACAGTGCTGTTAGGAAAATTAACCGATGAATAAAGCAACATTCAGTGCGCAGGGAGTGAAATTCAATGCCCACCGCTTACTTCCTCGCTGCCCCTCACTCAAGAGGCCCAAACTTAAGGGGGCTCAAGAGCGCAGCAGCCGCCCCACGCCACTAGGTAGGGCGCAAGCGCAGACACCCTCTTCGGCTCTCTAGAACGAGCTTTCCTATGGGGCCACGCCCAGCTTGCCTTCTGATTGGTCCAGCCGGTGGGGGAGGGGCGCTCTTCCGCCATCTTTGATCAGGGTATGAAGGATGCTCCCGACCGCCTTCACAATGAGGGCGGAGGACCCGCCCCACCAGCTGCTCAGTACGTGCCGCGTCGCCCGTGCGCGCCAAGTGTGAGTCGGTGCGAGCGCCCGCAGAGCTTGCGGTGGGCCCAGAGTGAGAGGGAGGCGGAGGCGGACGAGCAGCAATCACGTGGTTTTAGGGACTGTCTAATAATTCCACGCCAGTATTGCGTGTGTTTCAGGGGCTGGGGACCACTGCGTTCCGCACTAACCTTTCTCCCACGAACCAACCACTCGCCCCTTCGGCCCCCGGGCTTGTACGGTTACAAGCCCAACTCCGCTTGAGGTCCCATACTGTCCCATACGGCCCTACAAGACTGAGGCGCCTAGGGCTGAAGGCGGGGGGCCTCAACAGGGAGTCAGGGTTACTCATTTTCCCTACCTTTATTTGATGAGAATAAGAGCTAACTCTTAATGAAGGCTACCGGGTATCACGCAAAAACCCTGTGCTTACTATTAGTCTTCGGGTTGTTGCAAAGATTAAAGGAAATAATCAGTGCCAAGCGCTTAAGAGCTTGATATAGGTAAGTGCTCGTCAGTGTTGGCTGCTCTCATTTTTTTTTTGCAGTCGTGGGAACTGGAGTTCAGGAAGGCTAACAGCCAATAGGTGGCACAGCTGGGATTTGAACCCAGGATTGTCTCCAACGCCGCTCAGTTATACAAGCCAGGGAGTCACAGAGACTTAGTGAAGTGCACACATTGCCCACCTGGGTAAACTGAGGTCCAGCAGGGGAAGGTTTCCTCCTGTTGTAATCACTAACCTTGCCCGATTCATTCATTCATTCGTTCACTCATTAATTCAACAACCTGTCTCCGAGAGGCTCAGTCAGAGGACATACTGATCCAGTTAGATCCGAACGCTTCCCAGATATATATGGCGCCTGCTGAGAAGGGACTGCAGAGTCCAGGCACCCACCTTCCAGGCGCTCACCGTTCACCCCTTTGGCCTCATTTACTGAGCTCGTATTAAGAGCATGGGATCTGGATCCACACTGTTTGGATTCAAATCCCGACTTCACCACTTAGCAGCTGTGTGTTCTGGGAAAGTGACCCACCTTCTCTGTGCTTCCATTTTCTAACTTGTAAAACGGGATGCCAGGCTGGCGGGAGGGGTTTAAAGGTGTTAGCCATGGAGAGTTCTTTAGCGAACATCCAGACTGGCAATAAACTCAATAAATGGTGACTGTTATAATTAATCCTCGGAACCATCCTAGGGAGTGGACACTACTGTGTCCCCCCTTTTACTTATTACATTATTATTATTTGTAGACACGAGGTCGCGCCATGTTGCCCAGGCTGCTCTCAAACTCTTGTACTCAAACAATCTTCCCGCCTCCGGCCCCCCAAAGTGTTGCGATCACGGACGTGAGCCAACACGCCCAGCCCGTGTCCCTCCCTCGTTTTTACAAATGAATAAAGAGAGGCTGGAGAAGCAGACTCTTGCCCGAGGTCACCGGCTTTGCAGTGTTGCCTCCCCCGATTTGGTCTCCTGTCTCTTTGGCTCCAAAACCTACAACCAGTCCTGGGAGCGGTTCGCGGCAATCGCTCAGAGAAAACGTGACGAAAACCAGTCTGTAAAACTTTAGCCTAGGAGAGGGGCTTCGGTGCGCGGGGGAATTTGCAGACGCTCCCTGCTGGAGGAGATTGCCTGACCTGTCCTTCAGCGCGGGACTTTCGGCGGGTCCCAGCCGGGCCGACCCGAGTGCCTGCGGCGGAGACGGCAGTGGAGCCAGTAACGGCTGCAGTGGCCGTGGCCGTGGCGGGAGAATCATGTCAGAGCCGCAGCCGCGGGGCGCCGAGCGCGATCTCTACCGGGACACGTGGGTGCGATACCTGGGTGAGCGCGAGGCGACGGGCGCCGCGACCCCACCAACACCGGGCTGGGGAAGCAGGGGTCGCCGGACGCCGGCCGGGGCCTGGAGGAGGCGGGAGGATCTTAGTTCTCATTCTGCTTTTGCGCCGGAGACTGATCTCAGACAGGGCTAGGGACTTGTCCAAGGTCACACTGCCCTGGTGGGGCGCCCGGGGTGGAGGATCACACAGGGCGAACGGGCTGCCCGCTCTGGCATGCGCTCTGGCTGGCTGTGGAGTCGGGACCTCCACTCCCATTTCCGTCCTGACACGCGCTGGCTGTGTCTGAACCTGTTTCCTCAGCAAAAAAACAAAAAGCAAAAAACAAACCGGATGCACAGGAGGTCCTCTCTCATTGGGTGGTACTTTCGAGGGTGGAATGGGATAAAGCGCAGAAAAGCCTGGCACTTGGCGAGTGTCCGGCCCTCGATCACTCTGCCCCTCTGGGTGCCTGTCACCTCATTAGTGCAGCTACTCCTGGGACTGAGGCCAGGAAATCTAACCAATAAGCAATAGTAACAGTGACTCCGTGCTCAGCCCTCCCTCGGTGGCCCAAGGTCGGAGGTGGGCATCATGGCACCAGTTTACAGTTCGGAAAGGGAGGCTCAGAGAGGTCAAGTCACTTGCCTAAGGTCACCCAGGGAATGCTTAGTTGGCCAGGATGAGAACCAGCCTGCTCCAGCGCCCCCTCGTGGAACAGTTCGTGGGCCTAGGAATTAAATCTTCCCTCCTCCAGGCTATGCCAATGAGGTGGGCGAGGCTTTCCGCTCCCTTGTGCCCTCGGCAGTGGTGTGGCTGAGCTACGGCGTGGCCAGCTCCTACGTGCTGGCAGATGCCATTGACAAAGGCAAGAAGGCTGGAGAGGTGAGTGTTAGCCTATTTTTCAACCCCCACCCCAGCTCTCTTCCTGTGTGGTTCAGTCCACAGCCTTATGTGGTAAAGTCCCTGTGGGCCACTCCAGTCCCTACAGACTTGCCCAGTGCAGTCCATAGTCAGTCCTGTTTGTAGGACAGTGTATCCCCACCCCCACACTCCCACTTCCTGGATGCGGCAGACTGTACCCTACTCCTGGGTGTGGACAAATCTATGGGCCCCTCCCGGTCTAGTCTCATGCTCCTTGTCACAGGATTTCCTGCCTCTGCCCCAGCTAGATTAAGTGTCTCTGCGCCCACCAGGTGCCAAGCCCTGAAGCAGGCCGCAGCGCCAGAGTGACAGTGGCTGTCGTGGACACCTTTGTATGGCAGGCTTTGGCCTCTGTGGCCATTCCAGGCTTCACCATCAACCGCGTGTGTGCCGCCTCTCTCTATGTCCTGGGCACTGCCACCCGCTGGCCCCTGGCTGTCCGCAAGTGGACCACCACCGCGCTTGGGCTGTTGACCATCCCCGTCATTATCCACCCCATTGACAGGTGGGTGCCTTCCTGGCCTCAGGGTTCAACCACGCTCCAGGTAGAGCTAGACTCTATGAGGCGTGGGGCGTGCCCACTTTGCCAGAACAATAGTAGGGACAAGGCTGGCACTTGGCTTCTGGGATAGAAAGGACGGACAGCCTGTACCCTTGTCATATGGTCTGGCAGGTACTTTGGCAATGAAGGAAGAGGGATGCCTTGAGGGTATGGGACACAGGACAAGTAAATTCCCAGAAAGAAAGCCTAGTGTTACAGAACAACCAGAGGCAGGCAGGAGCAGGTGCACCATGGAAGGGATGCATTTCAGGAGGTATTGGTGACAGAAGCCTAACTCAAACTGAATGGTTGAATAAAATGGAGTAAAAGTCCAGGGTTGTGTTGCATTCAGGCATGGCTGGATCTAGGTACCCAGATGATGTCATTAGGGATCTGGGTCTCCCCATCCTGCTGCCTTTCTCCCCACCCCACCCTATTTCTTGCTGGCTTCACCCGCTTTCTCCTTGTGGGAGCAGAAATGGCCCTAATAGCTCCCGACTTCTATCTCATCAGCTTAGCCTCCCCAGCAGAAGCTTTTAAATAGTAACAACAAAAATCCCAAGGAAGGGTGTCATTGGTTTATCCTGGACTGCCTGCCCACCCCCTGAGCCAGTTTCCCTTTGTTGATTGGCCAAGTTTGGGTTACATGTTTGGTCTTAGAACCAGAGATGGTCTCAACCCAACCAGACCAACATAAGAGTGAGAGGAGGAGTCTTTCTCCAGGAGAAGACAGCTGACCCTGAGGCCCTGAGCAAGTCTTTTACCCAGTGCCTCAGTTTCCTCCTGAATAAAGAAGAGGATGGCTTCCACTCTGGGAGTTTGATTCTAGCTTCCCCAAGTAGCCCAAGGTGGGAGGATCAGGATAAGGGTGGGTCTCTGCCTGGACGGCATTTGTATCCTGCATCTAAGCATCCCTTTCCCTAACTCTGACCTGCCTTCTATTCCCTCATGAACACCCCGGCCACCTGCTCACCACCCTCCCCCTCCCTACAGGTCGGTGGACTTCCTCCTGGACTCCAGCCTGCGCAAGCTCTACCCATCAGTGGGAAAGCCCAGCTCCTCCTGACCACACGCTGGTACCTGGCTTGTGCATCGGCCTCCTCCTGCTTCATGTCAATCAACCTCCCACTCCTGCCAGGGGATGTGGATGCCTGACTCCCTGGGGTACAGAGACCCTGGCACCTGAGCGGTTTTGAGCCAGATGGAAGCTTAGAGACAAAAGCTTCAAGAAGCAGTGGCTGCAGTGAGTCACAGACAGGCAGGACCCGAACCCTCACTGCTTCCCTAGAATCCATGATACTGAGTGGAAATGGACCCTGGGTGGGCCTGGCCCTGTCTTTTGACAGGAAAGTTACATCCTCCCATGGAGGATGAGAGACTGAGGCTCAGGGAGGGCAAAGTATAGGCCCAAGATCACTTGGCAAGCTGGGCACCCAGGTGCTTGATGGAGTCACCCCACGGTGGCACAGCTGGACAAGGAGCAGCAGACAACTCAGGGAGAAACTCAGGAGTGCAGCAGCAAGGACACCTCAGGACAGATTCTCAGGCCCTTCCCTGACCCAATAAATCCTGAAGAAGTTGTTTTGTCTTCATTTCTGTTTGGGATAAACAGGGGTGTGGTGGTGGGGAGGAGGGATGGGTAGTGGCTTCTCTACCCACCAGTGCTCCCCTGCAGGTGCCTGGACTCCCACATTGGTGCTGCCAGCCTCCTTTGGGGTAGGCATTACCCTTTACTTTCCCGCCTCAGCATCCCAAACTGCTGGGATTATAGGAATGAGCCACTGCACTCAGCCTGGCATTGCCCTTATTTTGCAAGCCTCCTAAAGCCCCAACCCCTCTGGTAGAGGAGCCTGTTGGGCAGATACTACCTGAGCCTGAAGGTGTCCAAGATGGTGGTGGCAGCCCCATGTGAGGGTCACATGAGACCTCCTTATGAGGGGACTCAGCAGCCTGGAGAGAAGGAAGTGACCGGGGGGCTTTTTCCACTCGGAATCGGGGAATGGCCTGTTTTCCTTGTGGCTTCGCCTGAGCCGCTGGGCTTGAGAGTGCTAAAGGGGGTCACTCCTCTTTGATCCTGGGCCAGTCCCCTCAACAGCTCAGAGAGATAGAGAGGTGGGAACACATGGCTGAAGCAGACCTGGGTTCCTCTCAGCCCTGCCCGAGCCCCAAATTAGCTCCAGCCAAGGCTCTGGCCCCACCCCTTGGCCAGGTGCAGCCAGGTGGGCTGACCCTGCCCTGGTGGGACTTGCCGGCACCTGGGCTGGGACTTTGAAGGGCTGCAGGGCTGGGAGGCGGTGCTGCCAGCAAGACAGGATGGGGGCTCTGGGGTGGTGGCCCCTGCTGCTCTGGGGGTGTCCGTGGCTACAGGATGAGTCTGATGTGGGATGTGCCTTTTTCTGCTACTCTTCTCGTCCCACACTGGCCAGGTCCTCTTCCCAAGCCCCTATGGCCTCTGCCCAATGACCTGCTGCTCCCTCCCAGCTCCCTTAAAGGCTCTAAGCCCCACCTCATTCTCTAGCCCCTAACCCCCATCCCCCATTTCCCATGTGAGCTGGCACTCACATCCTTCTCCAGCCCAGCATTTTCCCAGCTTATCTCCCCGGGGGTCGCAGCTGCATCCCTGTGACATCTCCTGGCATCTATCACCAACTCCTTGCCCACTCACTCTCCACCTTCCACTCCACGGGCTCTCCCTGAAGCTGGGAGCTGCCTGGGCCACACGCAGGCTTTGTGCTCGTGGGCACTCAGCCTTGCCCTCCCCATCACCTGCCCTCCTGTGCCTCTGTGCCCCTCCCCACGACGCACGTTCCTCAGGTGCAAATCCTCTTCCTCTTGGCCAGCTATGAGCATCCTGCAGAACCAGCTCCAGTGCCCCTTCTGTTGTTGCTTCTTACTATGCCC